TAAGCCGGGAAGGGACGATGGAGATCGGGATCGGCAGGATCGACTTGTGGACGATCGAGGGCGCGCTTCATCTTCACGATTGGAACTGGTGGAGTGGACGGGCAAGCTTGATAATTTTTTCTTGTGTTTTTCTTTTTTCGACGCCAGTTTACGGGTGTCGGTGAAATCCGAATTTTTTCAAGCGTTCTTGATCTTGTTCCGTTTTTTTTTTGTCGTTTCTTTTGACGGTAATTTTTTTTTGGTTGCCGAATCCAGTGGTAATTCTCACGTATACGTGTTGTCGTTATACATCGTGATGTACGCTTTGCGCTTCTTGACCATTTTTTTTGTTGTGTCGAGAGCTCATATCGGTGACAGGTGTGTCGGTGATGGTAGCAAAGTGGGGGGGGATGAAAACGTGCACGTTGGTAGAATTTGCCACGATATTTGATGCGTAGTTCATGAAGGATCAATCGCAAGTTGGTGCATTCTTGGTTGAAGGAAGATCGAGGTTTTTGACTGTTTGCAGATTGCGGGCCTTGTTTGAAGGAGGCTTGACGTTTTGTTTCTGAAGATGGGTTTCGTGGAAAACCGGTTGTGTTTGATTTGTTCTTCAGCAGAAACAGGATGTTTGTGGTTTTGATTTGGTGGTGGATCGCGCTTGGTTGATCCCAAAAGAGGGAGAACGTACCTGTCTGATGAAGTTTTGATGCGGAATGCAGTTAGGCAGGGAGGGCGTTGCCCGAACATGTGTGTGTTGGTGCTGCACAAGGATCTTGTTTCATCATTCAAGAAGGATTTGCCAGGAGCGTACCTCGAGGTTGGAGAGTAGAGCGTTGCTTTTAAAATCGCAATCCGCATGTTTGGTGTAAGTCGCTTTTGTTTTGATCTTGCAGTACAGCCGTTGGAATCATAGATGACATGGACGGTTCGTTTGATTTTGTTTGAGGCGTTGGACTTCGAGGGGTTTTGATCCGGCGGCCGGGTTTCCCCTTGGTTTTATTTTCTTCGTTGTGTTTCAGCTATTTTGGCATAGTTCCGACGCACGAGTGGTTCTTCGATGGTGCAAAGAACCAGGGAGGGTGTTCGTACGTAGGAGTAGACAAGCCAAAAGTAGCCGTTACGTAGGACGCAGATAGGATATACCTGGAGAGGTATGTGGCGAGACAGTTTGGTGAGAGCGCGGAGCGCCCGCTTTTTTTTTTTTGTGAGTTCGGGGCACTCTCTCCTTCCGCTCTCTCTCCCTTGGTGCCTTCTCTATCGCGTGCTAATTCAACCAGTTAAACAGCAGCCCCAAGTCCGCACGGCAAGTACTGTTGCCAGAGCTCACGAACAGACCTCCAATGGATGTTTTGGAATAGAGACCGAATCGAGAGCTAATGTGGCGAAAAAGCAAACA